CTTAGCTTCGTAGAGCAATGGCCCATGAAAACACAGCACTCTTTCACCTGAAAAGATAACAAAATAAGGACGTGAGTAAGGCATTGACAGGAGAGAAGAAAGAACCCCCCCCCCCCACACACACACACGTCTGGTTTGCTATCCTTGTGGGGACATCCCATTGACATAATGCTTTCCCTAGCCGCTTACCCTAACCATCAAAAATGAATGCCTAACCCTGACCTAATTGTAACCCTGACACTAAAACCACGTTTTGAGTGTGAAAATTGCTTTCAACCCCGTAGGGACCTGGATTTTGGTCCCCACGGTGCAGAAAGTCCCCACCAGGATAGTTTATGTCCGCTTTTGGTCCCCACCAGGATAGTACGAACACACACTTGAATTTATTTTAGATGTTGTCCTAACCACACAGGCTCAAGAGTATACATACACTCCTAATATTTGATTGTGTCTCTTAGCAAGCTCCATCTCAACCAGATGCTTTTGGTAGTCATCAACAAGCTTCTGACTGGATATCTGACCCCTCTTCTTAGCAGACTTGGTAGAGGCAATATAAATTTGTTGGATTCCTGGCCAAGACATACGGTACAACTTTTTACTAGGGATGGAGTTATCTGATCATAAAACTTTTCTCCAGAAGACATTTGACTTGTTCATGTGGCCAACTGCAAATTTCAGTTGATCTTGAAGGTGCTGATTTTGGAGCTGGGGCTTATTCTTGGTCGGCACCCTGTTAGTCCGTAGCAATGTAAAACTCAATGAAACCACAGTGATTGTGGTATTGCAGCGGTTTCCAGTTCATGGCAGGCTTGAGACTTGGTGGTTTGTGGGTTGTTCAACTTTTCAACTTGAATACAATTATAATCTTCTTCTTAGATCTTTACCTAGTTACTTAGACTTCTCCAACTGGTCCATCAAAGTCCCATTGTTCAAAGTATTGGTCAGCCCAATTAATGCTGTCAAACAAATGTTTTCCCCAGACAAAAATAAATAAAAAATAAAA